TCTCCAAGGAAAAATGCAACGTATGATTCAGTATGAATTTCAGTGGGAAAAAAATCATTTCAATTTTAATTAAATCAATTTATCAAAGATTTTTAGTTTAGATAACTTCAATGTTTATTTCCTGTGCAGCAGAAAAGATTATAATTGACAAAAAGATATTAGAATTCTTCTGCAATTAAATGCATGAAATTAGTATCACTCTTAGCATGGTTAAAGCTGGAAATAACGTAGTATGCTTTGCTCATTCTGAACCTGTGCATTTTCAGTAGGCCTGCTTCTCTTTTTTTATATTCAGTCACTGACTGATAAAGTAATGCAGGTCTTATTCAAGTGGATTAGATTATTTTCAAACAAATCTAACAAGGTCACATGAAACTAAACAAACAAATTACACAAATTACAGCAACAGTATTACAATTTTTGTAAGGACAATAAATAGATTTAGGAATTAATTATGCAGAAAAAAATCCACCTCTCAAATACTATTTCTGATTTTTACATTTTTAGAATAATTCGGTCACTCTTGGAACTCCAACTCTAAATCACTTGACCACTCTGAACAAAAAAATGCAGATTTAGTATTTGAAAAAAAGAAAAAGGGCAGCAACGTTTGATGAAAAAAAATAAGTGGCACAGCACCTAATTATTAAACTTAAAATTGAACACATTCCTATTAACTTTATAACATGCTGAAAACAAATTTTAAAAAAAACAAACCCAAGAAGATGTAAACGATGTGACCTGAGTTTATGAGCACCAGAGACTGTAGTCAGGGTGTAGAGAATAATCCCACAGTGCACATGCAGCAGTGCTGCCCACTGGCTGTGCAGCAACCTTGAGACTGAAGTTGCAGCACCTGTGGTTTATGGTTCCACACATTAAGACATTGTTTCCACTTGACTATCACATAATTTATTATGAAACCATGTCACCAAAGAATTGTGTGTTAGAACACCTGTAGAAGGAACTAATTTAGGAAGTCTATACAATAGCTCTTCCTCTTCCACACGTAACATTCTTCCCCTGTACAATGACACACTCCTCAGTAAGCCTCTTTCTCTCGAACTCTACTTTTTGTGTCCCCATCCACATTTTTCCCAAATTTGTTCCTGAAGAATTGCATTCAAGATTGCAAATAGGCCTAGATCCATTTGATGCCAGGCTTGGATCTGCTGGCTCCATCCTGCATAAGAGACATTGAAGCTTCAAACTCATGCAGCTGGATGTAGCTCACGTCCATTGTAGAGGTTTTATCTAGATGGATAACAAAGTCTGCATTGTAGTTTTTCAGAGCTGGGCTCATGTCAGTGCTCGTGGGTCAAAGTATATGTCCACATTATAGTCTCATGAAAAGAGAAACATCAGACATTTGCTGGGCATAACATTTTCCCCCCTTCTGTAATACTCTTAACTGACTATAAACCAGTATGATTTCCTGGCAAAGACGTATTATTCCTTTACATCAACCCTTATGGACTGATGCAAGCTAACACAGTGGAACTCTTTTGTAGGGATCAAAGCAGTCACCCACTGGATCCCAGCAAGTGTCAAGTCCTCTTTCTTTCTCACAGAGTTGTAAATTGCTTGCATGGAGCTAAAACATATTTGACAGAAGAGTTTTTAATTCATGGAACTAGGCAGGTGATCTACAAGATGATTAAAAACATCCCAGGGGGAAGGCAACACCCAAAACTGCACTTATATAAAAAGACCAATGTTTAGACCATTTGCCAGATGGTGAGCTGTCATATTTACTCTTCTCAGAGATTAGAGTAGCAATATCAACATTTAAGCTTTGCCCCTCCATAAGAAATACATATGTTCCCATATGGACTAAAGTTCAAACATAAAAATGAAGAACAGTTGCATTTCATATACCCACAGTTGTGGCAGACTGCATTAAAACACATGTTATAAATTAAGACTATAGCGCAGCCTAAAAAAATTAATGACTCTGTTGATCCCATCTTTACTTCATATAGGTGAGGATATGATTTGTCTACTAAATATAGTGTCTTTGGTAGTGCCAGCAGCCAAGCAGCATAAACCCTGAAGACAGTGAAGATCAACACATCTAAGATGCTCCACTGAGGGATGAAGAACAACTTGTCTCCTCCACTACCGTTTCTAACAGCCTCAGACATGAGGCTTTAGCCTTTTCGGCGTTTTTGAGTGATGCACATTATGCTGGAATAGGCAGCTATTTTTTACTTTTTTTTTGTCCTGTAGAGCTTCCCTTCTGTGATCAGATTTTAATCTGTCTCGTTTCTAATGAATAACACCACGATGTTGTATTATACAGCTTTCCAGAGAAGGATTGCTACAATATCTCATCTGCCAGGAAAAGTCAATGTCTTGGCAGGCTCTTTATGAAATACCTAAATTGAACAGCTCAGATACTCTGTCTTATTCTCTATTATGTATCTGACAGTCAAGAGGTTATCAATAAATCTACACAAAGCTAGGTAACTTTGACAATAGAGGTATTCACATGTTCAGCCCTCTAATTGCCTGGATGTCCACTTGAAGAGCTATAGATGAGCCTCTGACTTTCGCTGTGGAATCAGATGGTGAAGGTGAACTAGAGGACATCAACTCCCACCATCATACATGCTGGCAAAACTTGCTGATGTCTGTTAGTGTGTATGTCACTCACTGAGATTGACACCACATACAAGCCTGCTCATGGCACAAAATTTTAAAACTTACTGAAACTCAGCTCTTAGAATGAGAGATCATGTTCAACCAGTATTCAGAAAAGCCTATTGTCTTTGGTAAATCAGATAGAAAGGGTTTTTTGTCCACCATGCAAGGCACAAGAAAGTTGGAAGCAGAAGTGTTATTGCTCATACAATTTGTCAGTGCATGCTTAGAATTTTTAAGCGTATTCAAATGCATATCCTCCAATGTCCCTTTCTCTGAATGCAAAAATTAGTTTTAAAGATATCCTTAAGCTTGAATTTACCTTTCAGCTGTGATTCAAAGGGGCTGGAGTCAAAGCAGTAGAAACTAAGGTGGTTGCTGAGAAAAATATAAAACCTCTTTCTGCAAATCATACCAGAATTTTCTATTTTGCATTGCATGATCATAACTTACATTTAAATCATGTTTATGAAAATAAAAGACATTTCAGGGAAAGTGATACCAGTTTACCTGTATAAGGTTTACATCCTGAAGAAAAGAATGAACATTTATAGAACTGGATAGTTAAGTTCTGTGCCTACCGTGTACCCAACAACAGCTAACCTTATATTCCTGTCAAGAGCAAGCAATTGTCTGGATAATTGCTAATTTATTGTTTTACTATTTTGTTCTGAAGAAAAACTCAAGAGATAACTAATGCATTGTTAGCTGAGTCTTCTGGCCTTCCTTATAAAAAACCCCAGTGTGTTGTTGACATAAGGGAAACCTAGATTCACATTGTTTCTTCTAACTTTCAACACAAATAAACATGCCTATACTCTTTTTGTTTCTTGTTATTGCATGATCCATTGGTTAAAATAGTTCTTCCTTAGGAATTGTTAGTAAAAATGTGGACTTTACTGATAACATACTGAAGTCTCTTCAACCTCAGACAGGAAATGCAAACTGGCTTAGATGGAGCAGACACAAATTACTTCCTATAAGCATAATCTTTACCTATTAAAAAAAACATTATTTTTAAATGAAAAACATTCAGGCTTACATCTGTAGACTGCAGGAATAATAAAACACACTAGTTTACCATGCCCCAGAACTCTTCCAGCTAGTTTCAGTAATGGTTTAGACTTACACAGGTTGATATTCTTGTTTTAATTCTTTTTAATAGAATTTAGTTGACTAAGGTTTTTGCAATCTGTTTTACACATATTTAAGTATTTGCAGGATCATGGCTTTGATTGCATATCATATGTATTCTATGCTAGCATCAATTTGATCCTTCTGCAGCTGTTCAATCATTTTTGTCATGTTCAGAGGCAGTTTAAGATTCATACCTCCTATGTCTAGTTTATTGCTGGTTGCACTGCATGATAATGCTAAAATATAATTTTAATTTTATGAGATGCCAGGAGTCTAATAAATCATTGTAGTAAGAGAAGAATGGTAAATTATTCTGGTATCAAATTTATTTTTCCTCTTTTTCCCCTATGATTCATATGAAATAATGCAGATGATGTAAGCAGAGAATTAAATCTGAAATCTGTAATGAAGCTAATGGGAAGAGTCTCAATGCTTTTTCTCCATGATAATTTACCTTAAAAGGGATGTTTCCAAACCTCGACAGTTTTCACATGTATATCACTAAGACTGGGGCACCAGGTAAAAACATTAAGCCAGCAACAACTTTCTTTATTTAGTCTCTCTATCAGGTACTATTAAAAATATTTGCTATACGCATGGACCTTCATTGACTTAAGCAGGACTAGGCCCTCAAAACACCTTTTTTTTAATCTTATTATGCAATGGAATAGGAAAATAGGAAATAGTAAAAAAAACCCAATCATCACTTTCTTGTTATTCCTCAAACAGCAGCACATACCTTAAGCTTCTTTACACCAGTGCAGGGATCATTAGAAAAACTCTCAGTATCTGAAATCTCGACATCTTCACCATAAAGGACGCCAGTCAGATCATTCCTCACCTGTCAGAAGTTGAGAAAAAGGCAAACTAGTGAACTGAGACTCAGTGAGAAGGAAGCAGATGGACCATATTTATCACTGTAATGACAAGCTATGATCTCGACGATGATATATGCACCCACATTTTTTTTCCATTTCGCCTAAAATCTGATCAAGGCACAATTCCTTTATAACTATAATCTACTATCAACGGCTGTACTATATAAAGAGCCTTCCTATGTGTGGTGAAAAGTTCACAGTGGGTTCCCACTTTGCATCATGAGGAGGACAATTCTCCAGTCTTTCCAGTGCTGTTAAGACCAAAACCTTTGGTGCAGCCAAAATGATGTTTGAGACTGTATAAAGGGAAAAGACTCATCAAGGAAACTCTTTCATATTCTCAGTGCTCAGTACTCATTTGAAAACAGTGTCAGCTGGTCCTAGCATGAATCAGCAGAGCTTAGTTTATATCACTTAGGGATTGACAAAGCTTAATGAACTCCTCTGTGTCCTCCCCCTCTCTTAGACCATGCATCTTATCATGAGGCAGCAAGTGGTGTAGTTTGGTTAAAGGTGACACGTACAACTCTGTACCAACAGATTTTTTTTATCTGTTTCTTACAATAGCGGTAAGACTGTCCTCTTTGAACTCTGTCTAATAGCACAAAGAAGTCTGATAACATACAAAGCAATCTGGCTACCTATTCAAGTTTTCTTTCCATATAACTACTTCAAGGTTTTCTGTCTTAATCACTGATGTCTTTTCTCCAGCCACACAACTGCAAAAACAGTTTCACATTACTATTCCTAACAGATATGCAAAAATAATTTTAGTCTGTAATGTGATTACAGACTGAAATGAAGACAGTGGCACACCAATTTTAAGTTAATAAAATTATGATTGCATTCATTGCACTGATTGTCTATTTAATTTGTTTGTAATAACAGAAATAGGAGACGCAAATCACAGTGTAAAACAGGTGTCTCAAATGCAAACACAGAAAATACAAGATGGAAGAGAAATATATGTGATATTAAACAGGAAAATTTAGAAGTCTATGTATCATATGTAGATACTTTCCGATGACCCTCTCTGTAGGTAATTTCCTGACAATCATTACCACACTGGTACCTTAATTACTTCTTTCATGGCCTCTACATCATCTTATTCCTTTTAACCATACTTTGAAATTACTAAGATATGTTTTTCCATTATAGTCTTCTACAATTATTAAAACAGCTGAACATATAGGTAATTTAAAAAATAATGTTATTTTAGAGAAGCAAGTCAGAATGGTCAGCCCACAAAGATCTGAGTTATATCCTATAACCTTTTGTAATGTTATGATCAGTTTTTAAGCTCATCCTGTGAAAATGTGTTCACTGACAAAAAATGATCAGAAGTGACTCCTTTTTCTGCCAGTATATTAGAAAAATGAATTGTTGATATTTTAGCTCCAGCAATGCTCCTTATGATACAGAAAAGTTGTTTTTCTGAAACAAACCATCAGTGATAACAAAAGAAAACAGACTTCTCTTGATGACAGTTTAGCTAATGTTCAAAATCCTTCTACCTAGTATGAAAGTTCACGAACGCTATTATTTGCAACAGACAAAAAGTAACATTTTCCTTAGCTAGCATAAATTTTTTCAAAGGAATACAATTTGTTGTATGCTTCTACACCATACTGTCCTTTCTTCTGCAAAACAAGACTTTTTTCAGTTTCAGGTTTGATTTTCTCATACTTTCTTGATTTTATTCTGGAACAAATTCCAGTCATTCTTTCAATCTAAAAAAGACTAGATTAGCATTACTCGGCTAAACTGAGCAGAAAGCAGCTGATTTACCGAATACTGTTTAGTCAAGTTAGACCATTATTAACATGAGAGCAATGATAAAAAATACACATTCAATATTATTAAAATAGATTAACACGTATCAATAGGATTCAGTGGTGGGCACAAGGCTGACTTTATAAAATTTACACTTCAGACTGTCTACTGGCTTGCTGTGATTCTCTTCTTTCAGAACTTGTTCATGAATTCTTCAATTGCTTGTGTTTGGGTTTTTTTCTGAGCAACACTTTTTTATATTCGGCCAGAGAGGAATTTCTTTGACACACTCCTGGTCCACCTACTAGAAGGCAAGTACTCTGTGGTTTTCAGAGCTCTTAGACTTTTCACTGAACTACTGATTAACCTCCCAAAAGATGTGCCTTATTAGATCTGGTGTTGAAGAAGTTGAAAACCTTTTCCCTTCACTGCTACAATCAGATACTTTATGTTTTCCAGATTCATCTGTTGTGGAGATTTTGTCAAAAGAAAGGTGATTCTTTCACATTAGCTCAACAAGGTATTAGGAGCTCTATAAGAATTTTCAAGGTTTACATTGTTTTTCTAGAAGACAATGGGTTTTTTCCCTTTCAATGCTCTGACCACTAGTCTGACACGTCATCTTGTGCCTGGTCTGGGGATATTTTTACTATATTTTCCAGTCTTTGCTTCCTATTTTCATACCTTTTTTTCACCATCCTCAGATTCTTTTCTTCCTTCATAAATACTCTAAATATATCATGGAACGGAAACTCGTCATTTCCTTCCTACAGAGGTTCTTCACTTTTTTCAAATAAATTTAACTACAGAATCTTCTGAATTGGATTTGGGTCCAATGTCAGAATTTGCAAAACCTCACCTCCAGTTCTAGAGCTGCCAATTCTTGCTGGATACGTTGCAATTTTTGATGAAATTTGTGAAACTCAGAATACAAAATGCAGCATGTTTTGTTTTAGCAGATGCTTGCAGCCCTGGAAAGCACATCACCAGTGATATGAGCAGTTTTAGAGCTCAGCAGCAATTGCTTCGTTCCACCAACTCCAAGTAAGGAGAATTGTAAACTACTATACTTCTGCTTCTTTGTTGTGTAAATAGGATAATTTCAACTGGAGGAAACTGCTGCAGAAAGTTGTAACAAAACTGTCTGAAGTTTTATTGGGAATCCACAGTTCCTATGTAAATTTTGGACTGACTTGTAATACAGAAGCAGTACAATTCCATGTGGCTTAGTCCCTTGTTAACAATTCAATGAAGACTGTAGCTCTGTGCCTGTTTATATTAACTTTAAACACTTTAAAGACTCTATTTCATTTTCCCAAAACAAGAACTACCAGACCTGATCATCAATAAACCTGGAAATTTTCACAACCACTGCTCAGAGACCCTAGTCCTTCACTCAGGGGGAAAAAAAAGAGCACATTTACACTGCTCTGCCTACAAAGCTAGATGAAATAATTATTTCACTGTACTACATATTTAATCTAGATGTGGTCAACTTCAAAAATTACTGGAGTGCAAAAAATGTGTTTACCCAGGAGGAAGCTCCAAAACATGAAGGGCTTATATCATGTAAGGGATGCAATTGCAGGAAGAAAAGGATGTCCCCTTGTGCTAGAGGGACAAGAGAAGATGGGACACAAGAGAATGGGGTATTCCCCCTCATTCAGCCAGAGCTGCTCTGTGATACAGCTCATATGACCGATATAAGACTTTAAGGTTTGCTATCAAGTTTGGCTGTATCTTTTTCCTGTGAAGTGGATGGCAGCAATACTTGCCTACCTCATAGCTGTTGTATCAAATTCAGTGACGTTTGAGAGGCAAACAAAGTCCCTGACCCTGCACCTGTGAAGGAAGAAATACAGGGTTTTGAGGAGCCAAGAACTTGCACTACCAGGGAAGAAATTAATTTCTTTAATCTCTAGCAAACTGAAAGAGTAGAGAATAACTAAGTGGGCTGTAAAAAATAATAATCTAGGGGAGACCAAGTTGCAACACTCTTGTGGTCTGTATCAGGAAGGATGGGTGTAGGTTTAAGGAAAGGAAGTGGATGTTAGGAAGCAGCATAGGCCAGCTGCTCCCTAAGGAAAAGGGATGCAAATGCAGTAACACATCCCCCAGATCAAGGACCTCACCAGCCAGCACCCCAGCAAGGGGAGCAGGAGAGAACAGCCAGTTTCAACCATGAGGCGACTACTTCACCCAAGTTCACAGTAATAAGGCACATCCAGGGTAAAAGTGGGAAGTCCATCCAATAGTCTGGGATGGGATCAGCTCTGGTGAGAATAACCTGGATCAGACACAACCTGTGATTGCTGACATATCTGAGGACAAGCTAAGACATGGGGCCGAGCCAAAAGGGTCCATGCCAGACATGGCTGTGGTGGAGAGGGTGAGAAACCAGCACTCCCACAGCATTGCTGGGGCATGGACTGATGGCACCAGGTTGAGCTGAAATGGGGTCCTGGGTTGTGGGATGGGGGGCAGCCTTGGGGGGCTGGTCAGGGGCAGAAAGGACTTTTGGTGCTCTCAGAGCCCTGACACAGAATTTTGGCTGGTTTTTACTTCCTACATGAAGTTTGCATGACAATTCTCTGCATCCAATATGTAAATGATACTCTACCTCAAAAGTATACAAAAGTTGCACACATATTGATTTTGTTTTAGGTGAACTGAGATTGCTCAGTTCAGCGGAATTAGTGCAAGCACCTGCTCACCAGTGGTAAATATTTTGCATCCATTTGACCCCAATATTTTATTTTTAGCAAGCCAATTTTTTGCTATTTTTTTCCCAGGAAAACAATAAAGAAAGGTGATATTCCTGACGAACTGCCAACCTAGTGATGTTTGGATTCAGGGATCTCTGCTGATTGATGTTTCAAACTAGGTTTCAGATTAAACATTTAAAGCATGGTTCATTCAGTTAATCCTAACTCTGCCAGTTGCAAAATAAATGTAATAATTTTTAGATTAATCATGCTACTTTGCTTTTAACGGACATTTATGATAACCTTTGGGTTCACTAAAGCTGCATGTAAGTACAGCAAGCTAAATCCTTGTCATTCAGGGCAGCCTAATCCTACCAAATGTTGATCATAAGAGACTCGTAATGAATGAGAACTGGTCAGACCAAAAGGATTACACAGTCAGATATTTTACTAAGATTTCCTGCTGTGGAAAATATACTGTGTAC